AATTCCTCGTCTCGCTGTTCTCGGAATGCATAGCCGTCATGGACTGCTAGGATGGGTCTTCTCCATGAGAGAGACACACGGCACTGTGGATTACAGTCAGAGGAGACCCATCTCTCATCTCCACTGAGCAATGTCCTGAAAACTCCTTTTAACGTGGACGGAGAAGAGGAGACCGACCGAGGGATACACAACATGCCATCTGTCATTGACGAGTGATCCATCGAGCCAATATTTTCGATAGTCAAGGGCTTACAGGCGGTTGACGACTGTCAGTTAGGTACATCCGAGTCTTGTCGCAAGACTGCGGGTGGTAGCCTCCGGACCCCCTTGACAGCTTCGAGACCGGTGGAGTCTTCCACTCCGTGAGGCCGTCCCAATCAAGGTTGTCTTCGAGATCTCCTTTCGAATCAGAGGTGGACAGTCCTGATCACTGACAGGACTTTCTTTTCAGCCTAATATATACTACTTATCCCTGAGACAGAGTAGGCGTGGCATTTGAACATGGCACGGAATTGGTTACTCGTGGAATATTCCAGTCTGGGACAACTGTCATCTTGTTCTGTGTTGGACAGAGACACGACAACAATTGTGTCAAGATGAAAATATCTCACCAGAAGCATAGACACCTTCAGGTTAAGTTGAAGCATGCGGCCACGCCTACCCGATCTCAGGGATTTCGAGTGTATGTCTCGAGAACACATTATGCTAAATGCTCTTATCACAACTTCTATTTATTTTTCCATTTTCCCTAGATTCTTATTCGCTGAACTGAGTAGTTGAAGCTACTTCAACTGCACCTATCAAAGGTCCATGTTTACCTCAGCCGCGTCCATCTCGGAGGTTTCTCGTCTAGTAAATCTGAAATGCAGTGGATAAGTATGTGAGACCTCAGCTGTTTTCTCACATCTCATTATGGCAAATTTTATAAAGACAGTGTCCGCGATTTTATGACGTCAAGAGGCTCCTTGCCGAATGTTGCGTTGTCTGCAACCGCCGGGGTTGTCGCGTCTTTGAAGAGTTCGACGAAAACGCCATGGCTCTTCCACAATATGCTTCTCCATATTCGTAATCGTGCTCGTGCCGTTTCATTTCATTTTGATACGGCGCTGGAGCTTTGACCAATCGTTTAGTCCATCTTTCCATACCGTCGCAATAATCTTTACCATGCTCACTTTTCTCTACAGGTTGCTCTACGCTTTGAGCCAGCAGTGATCTTATTACGACCCAGACTTTTTGCATTGTCACCGCCACTGCGTTACCTGCTTCACCGAGGAAAAAAACGCTGAAAACGTGTTCCCAGGGGTAGTTTGACCTCCTGAACACGAATATCACATCTGTATGAGGTGTTGAGAATGTTTGGGATGGAGTAAAGGGCGCACACGGATAGCGCATACCTGCTTCTACTCGTGTGTTCCCCGAGATAGTTGTCCCGGGCAGGGTTCTCGTTGTTGGGGAATCCCTCTGAAGGGGGGGGGTCGTATTTGGTCGCCAGGAGAGGGGGTCGTATTTGGGCTGGGAAAAATTTATTTTGATAGTTGATTTTTCTCGCTTCACGGACGTTGTAAAGGGGGGGTCGTACTTGGTCATTGTTGGGAGGGGGGTCGTATTTACGTTTTGGCGTTGTAGGAGTGGTGGTTGACTTTTGGTGATTTTCCTGTTTCATGCGTACTATATGCCCCCCCCGCTCGACGGCTCGATTCGATGAGGAAGGACAGAGGGCTGGGGAGGGGGGTCGTACCAACTCCCAAAAAGGTATTTAGTATGGAATTAGGGGGGGTCGTAATTTTCAGAAAATGACAACGCGATGGCGTGCCCTGGCGCCAGGGCGGGGGAGGGGGGCTGATAAGTATATAGATTGACGTAATATATGTTATGTATTGGTCAGTCTTCGACCACAGTTCTACACGACAGTAAATCTTCCAAATGCCACGCCTACTTTGTCTCAGGGATAAGAAGTGCAGAACACACCGTGCTTCGTAGATCATTATGCTTCGCAAAACCTCCCCAACCGAATGCGACGATAACTAGTGTATCCAAGTAGTTATTTCTTATATTTTCTCAAATCACACCGATTTGACTACTTTCGACAGGTGACGTGTTGTTTCCGTAATTCGTCGCTCAACTAAATTATTCTAGTTCCTAGTTTTGCTCCGATTATTCAGATTCCTATTCAGATTTCCTAAAGAATACTCGTTCAGTAGAACGTACAGTATCGCAGTTACTCGTTAAGGTGACAGGAGTGTAACAGTCAAGGGCGAGCGATGTCTGCCTTGGAGGGAGGTCTACGACATCAATATAAGGAACTTGGCGAACAATCCAGAGGCTATGAGAAAGTATATGGAGTAAGGCATTTCATGTATTACTCGAAAGGCGATTGGCGACTTCATACACTGGCTGACACTCCACCTAATCGCTGGATTACCACAACCACCAGTAGTGCTCATTTTCTATGAGCTTCATCACGCGAATCCAAAATCGCGTGAGTGACTGAAGGTCCTCAAGGGTGAGCGCAGCCTCATCGGTTCGTGCGAAAATCAGAGTATTTCATATGGGACAAAAAAAGCAGTAGTGGACCCTTCTTTAGCTTTTGGTAAAATCTATCGCCTGTTGGCGGTAAGTTATAGATATAATACGATAGTAAGTTTAAAGGTTTGAACAATCAAGACATGCGGTTTCATTTGATTGGGTCTATTAGCGAGGTGCCATCCGCAGCTCAAACCCTGGTCAAACCATCCTCACCCTTGCCAGGTAACCTGTCATCCCTCTGAACTCGCTCAACTGGACTCAGGCGTTTCCTAACGTGGGCTAAGCAAGGCACTGTATCGGCTAAACTCGCGTCCAGAAAGACTTACACTTCAGATATTTAGTGGAGCTCCAATGGGTACCTTACGAAGAGGCATATTATTCCGCATCCCTTCATCCACAATTATACAGTAACAGGAACTTTGACCGATCTGACATTAATGAAATGACGCTGAAGGAACCTCAGGCATGGTTACCCTGGGCGGGCTTCGATCTAGCATTTGATCCTCGGACCGCGCCTTGTTGTAACTGCGGCAGTTTTTGTGCATATTTTTCCACACCTATTTTGGAAACGAATTTCACATTTCATCCATTAGAATGTCTAATATTCTTCACCAGAGTACTGCACAGAGGAATATCAAGCGTCATTTTGAAAACTATGTCATTGTAGCAAAGCGGCACCCGATGAAGTAATGCTTCACAACAAATGCCGTAGATTCGATCTGTATCCGGAACACCCTTGGAAGGGAGCGCTGAAGTTGAGAGGTCCATGGTGCTATATACGTAAAAATGTAAGAAAATTTAAAAAAGCTGTGCTACTGAAGTTGGTGGGGTGAACACTCAGCTGCGATGCCACGCCACGCCATACCGTATCATGGCTCTCCCTACCTCTTCCACCCTGAGAGTGCCTGAAGAAGCAGGTTGGTGCTATGAGGACTTCACGGTTAAAGCAGAAATCTAAGGGCAATGTAATGGAATAATGGATCTTAAGCGCTTTCTCAATGCAAATCCTCCCGTCATATAGATAGAGGCGCAAAGGCGCAGAGAAGTTAGATTCGCAGGCAGATTACCGTATCGCATCGGTATCGCTATCCCATGCCCACTGTATCGCGGTCGTATTCCTTCTTCGGAAGGGGGGGGGTCGCTAGGGCTGAGCTTAGTCGGAAGGTGAAAACAAAATTTGTGAAGATATGAATCTCTTCGAACTGCATTGCGAAGCATAATCATAGTTCATCTCATAAAATCCCGTCTTACACGACGTTTTCAAAAATGCCCCCATACAGAAAATGTGGTAATTACCAATACCAATTCGCATGCCAACACCAAACTCTAGCTTGAAAAAAACAATTTTTTTTCGTCAATTTTTTCAAAAATGGTCGTTCTGACAACGCAGCAAAAATATAGTTCCACCCCATATTTTCCGGCTGCATCTCATTTTTGTTCGGTGAAACTTCTCATCATTATGACTTCTTGCCTCTTCTAGGCTATGGCAAGTGGAACTTCATTAATGGACCTCGAAAAAGGACAGATTATCGCAAAGAAGGCTCAAAAACTGGTGAATCGTCGAATGGCGCGGGATGCGGGCCGCACTCATCATGCTATCAACGATTTTTTCCAAGGGACCCACAGGATATTGAGCTGAGAAGAGCTCTGGACATCCTCCTTTGCTGCCCGATCGGAATAACCGCCGTATCCTTGGAAAGCATCCAACTCTGCAGTGTCGTGTTGGGAAATCAAGACATCTTCGGAGGTTAATATCTCGGAGAATACTGTAGGCGTCTCTTGAAAAACTCCCGAGTTCATAGGAGGAATATGAGTTACGTACTGTTTCTAACGAAAAACCATCGGGAAAACCTAATTGGCTTTGCTCGAAGATGTTGCCGAACCCAATGAAGTGAGGTTGGCTTTTGGCTGCGGTGCCCTACTGCTTGTCTGTAGTGTTTTTTCAGTTTTTTTTTCTCGCGGTCGTGCTTCCTGATGAGTGAAAATTCAACTGCGACGGCTCCGACGAAAACCGATCCCGCTGGCACGATATGAGGGAAGACAAGTTTCATTTTTCCGGGCGGAACTTCAGTGGATGTGGTCTCATGGTCTGGGCTGCCATCGCATGAATGGAACGTCTGAAACTGCGCTCCGTATGAAAAAAGAAATGATTTCTTCCGTCATCTAAAAGTCATGCGACGACGTCTCCTTGCTTTCTGACTGGAAATCAGCAAGAAAGTCCCGTTTTCATGCAGGATAATGCACCAGTTCATGACAGTCGAAGCACTCGAGCGTGATTCAGTTGTCACCAAACCGCTCTTTTGCCCTGGCCAGCGAGTAGCCCCGACTAAAACCCAATCGAGGATGTGAGGGGCTTCATGGTGCGTATGATCCATGAGAGTAATGCACAATTCCACAAGGTCCGTGAGCTTAGGGAGTTAATCATTGGGGCAGTCGGCCGACAGCCTATTAAAATCTCTAATCGAACATGGGCAACCGTATTTTCCAACTTAATTGGAGAAATAGAGTTCCAGTAGATTACTGGATCAAAATTTATTCATTTTATTGTACACTTGTTGTTGGAATATTCGATTTGTTTGGTGGAACTATATTTTGCTTCGTTGTCAGAACGACCATTTTTGAAAAAATTGACGAAAAAAAATTGTTTTTTTCAAGCTTAAGTTTGGTGTTGGTAATTACCACATTTTCTGTATGGGGGCATTTTTGAAAACGTCGTGTAAGACGGGATTTTGTGAGATTCATGGGTGGAACTATGATTATGCTTCGCAGTGTAGTAGGTCGCATAGGCTCGCGATGGCAAGCATTTGTCAGTGAGGGAATCGGATGCATGGCGCTTACATTGAATGGAGGAGCAAACCACTTACTCATTCACTTTATCGAGAAGTTCGTAATTGAAGATAGACTGCGGCTTCTGAATGAGTTGTTTCGCGATTACACTTGACGAACCAAGCACTGAGTGGCCCAGAATTCCTCCCGCCCAAAACCTTAATCGAAAGCGTATAGGGGGCACTGCCGTTGAGAATAACCTACTTTAATAACCTACAAGAATAGCATTAGGCGCAGTCTTCAAGACTAACACTACTGTAGGGTGTCGCATCCAAGCCCTTTTCTGGAAGAGGGCCGCTATTGCATTCATCCCGGTGCTGTACCGGACTCGCAATGTAGCCATGCTCATCAGAGCTGTAGGATGGGCTCATGCAAAGTCCCCCTATACGCTTTCGGTTCTGCATCCTATGTACAGGGGGGAGGTCAAAAAAAGTCACTTTTCTTCCTTGACTTTCAGGCGCTATAAGTTACACTTAATTAA